TTCCATTTTATAACCCAAGATTTTCTATTTTTGCCTGTCAAATACTGAATTGGGGCTAGCAAATAGAGATTACTTACCATACCTGAAGCAATAAAGTTTTCCAAATATTATAACAAATATTAATACTTTGACTTTAGTTTCTGAAATACTATATGGTTGGTTATTTTAGCCTTGACAAAATAGAAATTAAAAACTGCTTTTTAAAATATCCTGCATTTATCTATTGAACTAATGAAATATTTTATGACTTTGTTATTTAAGAAGTAATTTAAAAGTCATTTTTATACATTTATTCTGAACTCTGTATATTGACATTTTATAGATTATTTTAAAGTATACTGCCTAAATGATTATGAAGAAAAATGTAGTTCTTTAAAATCTATGTACTAGAATGCTTTTGTTGATACCACTAATTGGAAATTAAAAATTTTCTTTTATAAGACCTAAATTCATAGAAAGATAAGAATTATTGAATAACATGTTTTCATTTTCACTCATTTATTGTCAGTGCCTAGTCAAAATAATATTTTATGTTCACATACTAAATGATAAATAATGCACTATCTATTGCAAAGACCTATGTAATACGGATTGCATTAATCGTATTTGGAGTTTACATAGCATCTTTAAGAAATCCCAGATACTTTAAAAATATTGTTTTACTTACTTTTACAGCACTAGTTTTGAAAAGATGTAGAACTCTCAGTTGAAGGATTCAAGGAGGGAACAGATTCAAAGGTTAATTCAGCGCAGGGCTTAGAGCATGGTGAGTACTCTTTAACTTAGCTGCTATTCTTGATATCACTATTACTATTGACTTTTTGAAAGACCACAGGCATTAAAGTTTCATCATGATGTGTATTTTTCTGCATCTGGTATATGGACAGATCTGATTATTGATTGTCCAGGTTATTTTGTCATAAGCCATAGGGCGATTTTCATCAGAGTGTACTTACATTGTGAGATTGTGACATCATCATCTTGACATGCCAAGTCAGGAAAATGGAATACCAGGTTGTAATAATAATAAAGAAAAACGTTTGAGAAAGGCACCCAGTCAGCATTAGATGATGATTTTACAAAAGGCTCAATTCTAGATCTTTGATTCTTAGCAACTTGGAAATTTTATATTTGAATGTTTCAAATTTAGGGAGGTCTCCCCCTTCTAGGGTAGGTGTTATCTAATCACAATGAGATGGAAGTTTCAAGAGACCAAGAGCTAGAGAACAACCAGTGATGCTTTCTTGTTTAACCGTCACTTTATTTATTCATGACCACATACAATGCTAAGTGGTACTCAGATACTGTTACCAGCTAGGTCCTAGTGTGTTCTTCCCTGAACAGTAAATCAATTACTGTGACAAGAGTTTTGCAATAGAAAAAAAAAGGTTTATTCACAAGGACATGGAGTGAGGAGGTGGGAGAAGAGCTCTGAAATAAGCCTCCCTGAAGATAAGGCTTAGGGATATTTATGGTTTAGGGAAATGGGGTGGTCTGAGGTATGGGGAAATGTAATTGGCACTGGGAAAAACTGAAGTAACAGGCTCATCCTGCACAAACGTAGCCAGAGTTCATGGCATTATATAGGACGTGTGTACAGAAAAATGGCAGTGTTAGCATAATCTGAGGTTGGAGTTTTTGACCCTCTGACATCTCTCAGGCACTTGAAGAATTGGTGGTCTCAACCAGTTTGAACTGGACAGAAGCTGGCCTAAGTTTCTGGAAAAAAAAAAAAAAAAAAAGGAAGCAACAATTACCTTGGTGACCTACGAATATTATCTATAAAGTAGCCAGTGAGGGTTAAGTTTCAGTGTTCAGTGGCCCGGTGTTCAGCAACTGCAGTCTTCAACTTCATGGGAAAAGGATACAACACCAAGAGGCAAATGACCAAAAGCAAGCAGGGGAGGCAGACCTAATGAAATTACCTCTCAGTTGCTCATGCTGCTTCCAGCTCTCTGCAGAAGGTAGATTCTCTGGTGAGTTGTCCAGAGCACCAAACCAGCACGATTTTCTGTTATGTGGGGAGGACTAGGGAGTTTGCCCACAACTAAGGTCTGTGGGGAAGGCAGAGATACTACTTCAGATAGAGGAGAGATGTTTGGGTTCCTTTCACAAAGCAAAAATTGTGGGCCAGGGTTGACATCCAATCACAGCTCTCTCACATCATTTAATGAGGTTAAATAATGGCTTTGTAGGGGAGTAAAACTTCATCTCCATCCTTTTGAGTCCTGGCTGGGTCTGAGGATTAAACTGACATAAAATAGATGAACAAGATAAAAGCATATAGATTTGTTTAATCGAAGTTTTATGTGGCATGAGTGCCTTCTTAGGGAAATGAAGACCCCAGGATGAAGTTCGAGTTGGACATTTATATAGTGAATTGCACAGAGTAGTAAAACTGAAAATGCAGTAAGGCAAAGGGGCATGGGCTAGTGTAGTTAATTGGATGGAGAAGTGTCTAAGAAGATAAGGGTTAGTGTAACAAGGTTTGTTTGTACAGATTTCCCTCAGCTTCAGTTTCCTGTCTTTGATAAGCATGTGGCTTTCCTTCTTGTGTAGGGAGGACATCTTTCACAGGGGAATTTTATCGCCTGCTTTTATGAAACAACATTAAGTTCAGAGTGATCTTCTTGTACCTGTTTTTTTTTCCCCTTTTAAGTGCTTTTAACTTAAAATAGTGAATATGCCAGAGCAGCATATTTTAGTGTGGTGTTATTAACTCCTTTGGCTTCTAATCACAAATTTCTTACCTTGTTCAAGGTACTGGGGACCAAGATTTTACTCTCTCATAGAAACATTTAAAAAGCAATCAAGCATAGATTTCTGACAGACTTCTTAAAGGAAGTTGCAAACATTATGTCTGCTTTTTCTCTGTTGCAATACGTACACTGTTGCATCTGGGAAGGGACACTCATTCTTGCAGTGCCATGATGAAACCCAGTGTTCACATCCTGGGAACCCTATCAATAATAATTATTAGAAAGTATTACTGCAGTGTGATGTTAAAATCTTCTGGTTCCTTAGGGATTTTCCCAAAGCCTGACCAAAACAAAACACACCACTATATAACCAATTACTAAATACCATCAAGGGTGCACAGGCTTTGCTAAGCCCAGGAAGAAAATTTCCGGGTTGTCATCTGAAGACTTAGGGCTGGTTATGGCAAATTTCTGAAGAGAAAGGCTCAACAGCTTATAGGTTTCCTGATATAAAAGTAGCTAGGCTACGCTGCTTCAAGTGCTTTGCAAAATCTGACCTCCTTCAAATTTGTGCTCCCTTTTCCAAAATGGATTTGATTTAACCTACAACGAAAAGGAGTGCAAATAAGATCAGTAGTTCCTGAGGAAGCAATTATCTAAAAAAAAACCCCAAAAAACAAACAAACAAAAAAACAAAAAACAACAAAACAAAACAAAACAAGGAAGAAGAGCTCTGATTGAATTAATTTTCACTCTAAGCTTCCTGGCAGCCAAAGGGAAAAACTACAAGAAAGGGAAAGAATGTTGGATCTGGAGGAATAAGGAATGGTTTTCAGTTTGGCAGTCTGCTGCTGTCACTTGGTGGCAGGGTGGCAGGGATCTCTTAATGTATTTTCTTAGATTCTGTTTCCTTATTTTAAAAATGTGGACAATAAGAATCTGGAAGGATATTGAGAGGATTCAAGGAGATACTGCATGTGAAGGAAAACTCTAAAGCATAATAAAAATGAAGTAGCTACAATGAATAATTAACATTATCCAACAAAAATAAAACATTTTAAGTTAGACAATGTTGTATTGGTCTTACTACTACCAGGAAGTAAGAACACTGAGGGCTGGAACATGAGAGTACATAACACATGTTGTTTGCTGAACTAACCAAAGGAAGGAAACCTTTTCCATGTTTTCTCTTAAAGCTTGAGTAAATGTTTAGCAAATTTCATTCACTCACTCAATAAAGATGAACGTCAGATCCTAAGCAGTTGAGAGGGGCTGCAGAAGGTCCTATGCATACAGGATGCTCTATTGTAAACCCATGACCACGGTTCTAAATAGGCGTTCGACACTGCCCAGCAAACCTGCTGTGATTTCAGGACAACTTCATTTACCATTCTCCCCACTCTCTACTTCAAGTCTTGCACAATTTCCACAAACTTAATTCCTCACTCTTCATACCTGAGATCTAAGAAGTATTCCCTGACCTCTCCCAGATTGTCTCCCTATTTTACACCACCATAATACCACTTGCCTTTTTTCTCATGGCATCATCGCTCCAAATTGACATTTATTTTCATCATCATTACATTTGTCATTGCTAGTGGTATCAAATTAATATTAATTATAAATCTAATTTATAAAATTTACATCATTGTTATTATTACGCTTGTTTGCATCATTGTTGTATTTATTTAGAATAATGCAATTAGGTTGGTAACTGGCTCTCAGGCTGTAAACTCCAACAGAGCAGGGGCCTGTTTTTGTTCACCCTTCTGTTCCTAGGACTAACCCAGTGCCTGATGCTTAGTAGGTGCCGGGGTCAATTCTGCTAAATTAATCAGCATTCCTGACCTCTTCAAACTCTGTTTGGTGGGTGTGGAGACCTACTGTGTAATGGCCGTTTAAAGTTTCAGGGGGGATTTGCAGTATCCACCTGGGCCCTGGTAAAGAAACCTGGGTTGCCTGTTTTGCAAAGTGAACCCTGTAGCAAATGTTTTGGGAGATGGAATCCTCCCAAAGAGAACGCTGCCTCTTTACAACAACAAAACAAAACAAGCCCCAAAACCGCCCTTCAATATTTTCCTGGATCAGAGACAGGGGTTGCAGCAGAAGCTCGAGCCCCGGGGCATGACCTGGAATAAACCCTGCCAAGTATCCTGCGCGCGTGCCAGCTGGAGGCTGCGCCGGGACAGCCCCCTCATTTCTCCCGCGCTAAACCCCGCCGGACGGCTCCACTCCCTCCCTCCGCTGCAGGGGGGAACCCGGCGCCCTAACACTGGTAACTGCTCATGCCGCCCCCAACTGCAGCCCCCTCTCGCGCCGCCTGCGAAGACAAGGTCAGTGGCCGCGAAGTTGGGACGGTGGTCGGAGCCACGAGGCCCAGTGAGGCGGCACCGAGCGGGCAGCGCGACGCGCTCCCCCTGTCCCGGGCGCCGAGTGCGCCCCTCCCGGGGCCCGCCTGTGCTCCGGGCGCTGCGCGTTGGCTGCTCGGGCGCGGGGCGTTCTTGGTGCGCCGGGCCGTGGCGAGTCCGGGCTCCGGTGGCCGCGTGCTGGGAGGAGACTGACGCCCCGTCAGGAAGCATGGAGTTGGCGACTCGGTACCAGGTGAGGGTCCGGCCGTCCGCCGCCGTCCGGAAGCACCCACAGTTTGACTTCCCTTTGCGACTCGGTCCTGCTGGCCTTGGGCTGGAAACGTGGCCCTTGGCTGCTGTGCTGGGAATCTGGCGCGCCCAGCCGAGTGAGTGCCGGAGTGGGCGCGCCCTGCAGGTGTGCGCGGTGGGTCACGTTTGTGCCACGCGGACCACAGAGCCCGGTCGCCCCGGCACACAACTGCGCTCAGCCTGGCGCTCTGCTCAGTCTCGGGTGGCTGCCGGGGGTGCAGGCGGGGAGCTAGCGGGGCGCAGCGCCTGCGTTTGCAGCCCTTCTGAGACGGGGGAGGGGCTTTTTTGTGCACTCCCCACGCTCTCCGGGAATTGGCACAGATCAGGAAGCTTAAGAAAGTTGTATTTTTTTTTTTTAAATAGTCGATCGCCAGACCAGTCCAACTTGGATAATGGAGTTTAAAAAGAATAACTTTAGTGTTTATTCTAGAACTTTTGTAAATGTTCTCAAGGAATTAGTAACCATTTGGGGGAAATGGTAACGTCATTGGGCCAAGTTAAACAAGCTGCAAGATCCCAAATCGTATGCACAGCACGACCCCAATTACACTTTAAGGGCCTAACTGTCCTTTAAAACTCATTAGCAAACAGTTGATTAAGTTCTCCCAAACGTTTCAGTGAGTGGTGGGAATGTGAACGTGACTTCAGTTTTCTCTTTTTACTTCTTAAAAGAGCTTTACTCTACGTTATCGTAATGGAGGTGTTTACTTAGAAGTAAGCAATAAAAACATTTATCAAAAGAACTAAAAATACAACCTTTAAAAAGGGAAACAAGCAGCCACGCCTCTGCTTGTGGGAGCACAGAGATGCTTTGTGCGAGGATTGTTTTTTTTTTTTTTTTCCCACTTGTTTTTGTGCGAGTCGCTAGACTCACTGCTTCCACTTTGCCTCCGACTGGTGTTTACTTTCCTCCACCTGCGTGCCTGGCCGGGGAGAAGGGGAGGCGGGGCCGCCAGCATTGGAAGGCGCAGAGTGCCAGGTGCCCGAGCCCAAGCCGTGTCACCTGCCCGAGTCTGGAGGCAAAGACCGAGCCACTAACGGTAGCTTTGGCCTTTTAGTAGTTTCTAAGCCTTCCTGAAAATGGTCGTTTGAGAAAAATCTGTTGTTGATGTTTCTGAGACTATTTAAAAAATGCCTCCTGTGAGAGAAACTATTAAAAGCAAGGGAAGCAAACAGTAAAGCCTAGGGAATGAGACAGGGTTCGATTTTTTAGTTTTTATTTTTTGCCATTAGCTTTTACCGTGCTAATTTTAATACCGTAAAACATTTAATTACCGTGCTAATTTTAATACCGTAAAAAATTTAATTACTGTGCTAATTTTAATACCGTAAAAAATTAGCATCCAATTTTTTTTTTTTTTGAGACGGAGTTTCTCTCTTGTCCAGAGTGGAGTGTAATGGCGCTCACTGCAACCTCCGCCTCCCAGGTTCAAGCAGTTTTCCTGCCTCAGCCTCCCGAGTAGCTGAGATTACAGGCGCCCGCCACCACGCCCAATTGTTTGTATTTGTATTTGTATTTTTTTTTTTTAAAGTAGAGACAGGGTTTCACAATGTTGTCCAAGCTGGTCTTGAACTGCTGACCTTAGGTGGTCCACCCGCCTCGGCCTCCCAAAGTGCTGGGATTACAGGCGTGAGCCACCACTCCCGGCCAGCGTCTTAACCTTCTAGGAGTTTCTGCTGCTACAGGACTCAAAACAAAACAAAACAAAAAACAAACGCTCTGGATGGAGATTTGAGCTCCTTGTGAGTTTAATTAGGAAATGTATCTGGAATTTATCCTGAGCTCCTTGTGAATGTAATCAGAAAATGTTTCTGGAATGTATCACTCCTGTTGTTAGGCTGGAGAATCCTTTGTACTTCCACCACTGATATTCATAATTCATGCTTAGGAAACTCAGAAGTCCCAGAATGTATAGTTGGAAGTGAACGTTTACTGCCACATAATGAGGCTAATTTTTGGTAGTTCTAAAATGTTAAATAAACTATTTATCATGTAGGGGTTACCCACAAATTATATCCGATCCATTATGCACCAATTAAGGCAAATTACTATATGTAAGATGATCAGGGTTTTTTTTTTTTCTTTTCTAAAGACCTAATTGGCAGTGCAAATCAAGATGTGTGATGATTTTTCCCGTGGAAATGTTCCTGTTCATTGTAATTTAAATGTGCACAGATTATAGTCGCTAAATTAGTGGAGAGTGGTTCTATGGGGTGGGCAGGTGACTGCAGATAAGAGCACTTAATGAACATTTCAGGCACAGCAAGATGATGTTAAATTCGTGTGGTTCCACCCTGTCTCCCAGCCTTATGAATAAAGCTATGTGATGAACCGCCCGAAGTGGCATTGCTGCACATCGAATGTCATTCAGCTCAGTGTGCAGTGGGTTCTAATCTCACATTGGAGTAAGTATAATTTCTATCGCTTGGAAAGCACTGAGCTAAGTGTTTCAGCAAAGCAGCTTAGGCCTAATGTTATGAGTAACAAGCAAACAAGGAGACTCATTTACTCTGAACTCCTTTCAAGTCTGCTTTCCTGTCATCCCACCAGTGTGTTGGATTTGATGTCCTCTGACAGTGATTATGCTTTCCACAGGCTGTAGTCTTGTTCTGACCACTGAGTCTTTGTGCTTTTATATGTAAAATGACAGAAATACCTCGTAAAGGCAAGGGTGTGATCTCTTACTAAGAGCTGTCAACAGTGCAGCTTCCTAGGAGAAAAACTGGTAGGCACTGAATGTCAGTGTTCTCCTGGTACTCTCTTCTAGCTCCGGAGTACAGGATGGCCCATTTGAGAAGGAAATGATGCTAAATGTTCTTGTAAATAGGCAGGAGCATGCTGTTGAAGGGGTAAAGGGGAATTTTTCTGGTATTGATCTCTCAGCTACAAAATGCTCCCATCTGATCCTGTTGCTTAACATGTAATCACGGAGCCCCAGAAGCTGGTCACAGAAAGGACAATGATTTGCCACTTTAATAGTCCTGTATTTAAAAGGCTCCTTAGTTGGTCTGTCTGTATTCTGCTGGCCACCCCATCCATAGCAGAGCAGGATTCTCAAAAATCAGGAGAAAACCTCAGAGATCATAACGATTCTGATCAGGTACACAGGCCAGGAAACAGTGAGATAATTGTGGCCTAAAACAATTATGAACATTAGAGTAAATTAATAAAAAAGATTAGAACATCATTGGAATAGAATAAGCCAGGCATATTACATTTAAACCACTCTTGAGAGTTTTCCTTTACTCAAAGTTATGGTTTAGAATTTTTACCTCCAGTATACAGTTTCGTTTTAGAAAAGACTCAGCTTTATTCACTAAAGTAGAATAGATACAGGCTACTGGAAGTAGGTGGGGATAGAGATAAGAAAGTATTACTGGGGCCATTTTGTTTTCTTTTTGTTTATGAAAAGCAGTGTTTTTTGGAGTTTTTTTGGAAATGGGACCATTCAGAGGCATATTTGGTAAATATCACTGAAGTTAACACTCAGAAAAATGTATCTTCCGTAGTAGTAAATGCTAGCACCCTGTATGCAGCACAGAAATAAGCTGCTGGAGTCTCACAGTGCAAGGGGCCTGAACTTTAGTTCAAATAAATAGATGGTGCTTCCTGCCTGTTTTCCTTCCTGATCATCAGCTGAGGACAGAGGGCTTGCTGATTAGTCCACTGATCACATACTCAATTGAGCACCTGTTATGTGCTAGGCATTGGTAGGGTGGAAGAACAAAGACACAGAAAACACTCCTCTTTCCCCACACTCTACCAGAAGGCCACGCTTGAACTCCCTTCCTCTTTTGCTTTTGCCAAAGCTTAGCTGGCTCCTGCTCTGTGCTATGGGGACCTGGGGGACCTTGGGTTTGCAGAGTAGAGGGAGACCTTAAGAGCCATCCATTTTTGCCCCCAAGGAATGGAAACTATCACTTCCTTTTAAAAGTCATGCTGTGCTAGGTGCTTAAAAGTCATCAAATTTAATCCCCACTGTAGTTCTGTGAAGTAGTTTGTGTTATCTGCATTTTAAAGATAAGGCTAAATTGACTAGTTTGCTCAGGGCAATTTGTAAGGAAGGTTACTCAGCCAGGATTCTGTCCCCAGAGCCTCTGCCTGGCCCTTGCTGCTGGAATCATGGGGCCTTGGCGAGTCAGGAAACTTGCCTTGTTCCCTCCTCCCTTTAACTGGAAGGGCTGGAGTTAACAGCAGCTAGCATGGTTCTTTTTAAGGAACGCACCAGATTATGCTTTATAAACTGCCTATAAAAGTCAGTTTGGGAATGTGAATAAGATACACCAAGCTTTTACATAGGAATGACTTTTATGTGAAATTTGCATTGTGCTAAACAATAACATGTTACTGTAAGCTGCACTGAACCACTTCTCTGCTTCCCCTACTCTCCATGCCCCATTTTCTGCAGTTTCCATGTAGTGTTTGCCTGTAGCACAATCGTCATCTTTGTCTAACCTTTACAGTATGATTGCTGTTGGAATCTGCTTTCCTTAGCACTGTCAGCATTACTTTTCCTAGTAGCTTAGAGGTCTTTACAGTTTTCATTTTTAGTGACTGTGTAGTGTTTCCAGATGTATATTTTATATCTTTTTCTGTTGAAAAAAATTTTTCTTTATTAGAGGAACTTTGGTAAATATCTCAGGGTGGTATACTGTATATCTTATGGCTTGTGTTGGAGTCTGCACTATTTTTAATCACTCTTTATAATGTATTTAATATGTCATAAAGGGAATGTGCCTGATTTTCAATGGTTAGGAGCCTCTGACACATTGTTTTCCTAGGGCATTTCCCGTTTTGTTGCACTGTATTAGCTGAGAGAAAGCAGTTTTTGCTGAGGTTAGAACCAAGCTTATGATAACTGGACTGAAAGAATGTTGTCTCCTTGAACTTAGAGCATCTCATAGAATGTTCTAGTTGGGGGGAAAGTGGAGAGTAGTCCTAGA